CAAAAATGGAGAGTAGGCATGATTAGGGTTTTCTAAGCTCAAGGGGACAGTAAGGGAGGTAAAGGGAGGCTAATGACCCTTTAAATAGGGTGTAAAACCTTGGAAAGTAGGATTTCATTATCCAGCTCCTACTTGTCGAGTTGAGGTCCTCCAACTCGTCGAGTAGACCTCATAAATCATGTGGCCTGATCCGCTTCTACATGACGAGTTGGGGCATCCAACTCGTCAAGTAGGTCTAAGAATGTGAACACAAGCTTTAATTTTTATACCTGGGAGTCGGGGTGTTACACTTAATGGAACCCAACATCCATTTTTTTCCAACAATACTCATAATAAGAACTCAAACTCATGCATGGACCAATAACAACCATCAAGATGACGTTTTTATGCATCATGAGCAACAAAGAGGTTGAGATCTAACATATCTAACTCTGGAGTTGCTTAAACTCAATAGGAGAACTCGTAGGACCAAATAAAGCTCACAAACAAGCCCTAATATCAAACTATCAAAATGAATCATCAAGGTAAGAAATTTTTACCTTCTAAAGCTCACAAAGTTGATGAAGAATCTGGATCTAAAAGCTTAATCTCCACAAATTCTTGGTCTCTAAGTTCCTTCTTCTTGAATATACACACAAATGTCACAAAGTTACTTTCAAAGATCAAGACCACTCAAAGAATGAACTAGGGTTTCAACGGGATGAAATGAACAATGGAGGTTTATTAGGGTAGAGGTCCAAAGGCTATAATGATGTTTGAATAGGGTTCAAACACTAAAAATTAAGGTTTGACCCTAGCAGACGTACACCCATCGTACACCACATACGCCCAACATATGTGGTTAAATCTTCACGACCAAAGCGATCTCGTACGCTAAGTGTACCAAACGTACTCCCTGCGTATGAGGGACCATTTGTTCCATTTTTCTCAAAATTAAAGGACCAAAAAAGTAGTACATGGAATTGAATGTTACAAAAATTTCCCTACTTCGCCTCTGTAAACCCTAGCTCGACAAACAATCAAACAATCAATTCGTCTCTCTCATTCTCCGACAACATCACCATTTAAAACCCTAGCATTCATTGGAATGACGGTGACAGTTGATTACTAGGGTTTTTGGTGACTGATTGCTATGCGACGACGGTTGGAGAAGCATTTATGTTTTTGAAACTTTGTGAAAGGGAAAGAAATGTGCAGGCCTCGGTTCTTATTTTGAAGGGTAAAGTTGTTTATGTGCGATGTTGTAAGCATTAATAGGAGGCTTCCTGTTTATAATGGGAGGAGCAAACCAGAAGCCAAGATCATCGTCGTCGGTGTCAATGTTAGTATCCGAGAAGCCATGACATGGGCCTGACGCTGAGACATAACCGAATATGAAGAAGCAACGATGGTTGTGAAGGTGTTGCTAGATTCACTGCTTCATTTGTATGGGTGAACCGAACTTGAGATCCGCCCCTGGTCAATTTGAGAATGAGAGTTAATTGCATCTATCTGAGTGTTGTTTGGATATAACCCCTGATTCAAACAAATTTTGTTCTTCAACATACATACAATTCTCTAAGGACGGATTGAATGGTGTCAATTTTCATTTCTGGAACTCAAGAACAAACCTAAATATCTAGGGTCAAACTTAAGAACAAACCTATATTTTGTGTGTGGTTTTCATTTCCGAAAATATTTCAAGGAGTATTCTTAAGTGTGTATGTGTTTATAAGAGTGTGTGTCTATGCGTTATTGAGTGTGTGTATGTGTATGTATTTTGAAGAACAAAGCCATAAACGTTAAAGTGTGTGTTTTTTCCGTAAGTATGTGTGTTCGTGAGTTTCGAAGAACAAACCGAGAGAGAGAGAGAGATAGACAGAGAGAGAGAGAGAGAGAGAGAGAATTTAATTTTGTTTTATTTGTAATTGTTTTTAAATTGTTGGTAATAAAACAAAATTGGAAAATTAAATAATAAAGACAAAATCGTTTTTACTAAAACGTTCAAACCAAATTGAACCAAACTCATAAGAAAATAGAACCTTTTGATATGATGCTAGTCCAAATTTTTTTTTATTTAACATACAAGTTTTGATACTAGAAGATCATTCTTACAATTTTATCATTTTCTAATCGTTACATACAGGTATTATCCTAGTTTCCTGAACATTTGAGGGCAATCTTGTAAAAAACAATACCGGGGTTTAAATAATAATGAGTAAATTACACGAATGATCCATATGGTTTGGGGTAATTTGCGTGCTTGGTACCTAACTTATTTTTTTTAACTTGGAAGGTCCCTACTATTTTTTTTAGACAAAATTACATAAATGGTCCTTGTGGTTGACAAAATCGAACAATTATGGTCCTTATGACGAATTCTTTACACAGATGGTCCCTATGGTTTCTAAATCTTGTAGAGACGGTCCTTTAGGCTAACGGCGTTAAGTTTTTCAGTTAAGTTCCATATGAAATGACATATTTGTCCTTCCAGCATAGGGACCATTTATGTAATTTGTTCTTACCACAGGACCATTTATGTAATTTTCTATATTATTTATTATTGTTCTTAGTTCTTACTTAATTTATTTATATATTTTAGTATTTAGATATTTTGAAGGTTTTGTTTGAATATATTGATTTTTTCTTTTAATTTTTTTCGCTAATATTTTTTTAACACTTGTTCAAATTTTTATTTATTTATTTATTTTGATGTTTTTTCAAATATATTTATTGATGTTTTATGATGTTCTATTGGAATATTTTTTTCTAATTATTTTACTTTTTGTTCTAATATATTTTTTTAATGTTTTTATTAGGTTTTGTTTTTTTGAATATTTTTTGAAGAATTTATAGTCACCGTAATCATAATTCGTAACTTACTTCACTTACAATCATTTTTATTTTAAATATAAATAAGCTTATATACTTATTATTTTTAATTCATATATTTAACTATGTAAAACATATAATGTTGTATGAGTATTACTTTTGTAAAGTTTTTTATGAACGTTTTTTGTAAAAAAAAAAAAGAAGTGTAAAAAGATTTGTTAAACTTGAATAAAATTAATATAGATAGGATAATTGGAATACATATGATAATCGGAATTCGAAACGGATGTCAGGTTATACATAGGCTAATCAAAATATGTATAGCTTAAAAATGCATAAAATGTCTTAAAAAAACATTATATTTAAATCCAATATGAAACGACCTAGTCGTACTTGGAAAGATTGTGAGATGGTCTCACCTTAGCCTATGTCTACCTAATGTATATTAATCATATCCATGTTTAACAAATATTATACACTTTTTTATAAACAATATTTATAAAAATTTACAAAAATAATAATTATACAATATAGTTAAATATTTGAATTAAAAAATTATTATTATAAAACTTTGATAAAAGAAAAAAGAAAATTGAAAACATGATTGAAAGTAAATTAAATTATGAATTATAATTACAATAGCAATGCAATCTTTTAACAAATATTAACATACTAAATGTTGAAAAATGTATTCGAACATAATGACAAAACAAATCCAATAAAACGTCAATAAATGTATTTGAAGAAAACGTCAAAAAGATTAGAAAAAATAATTTTAGCAAGACGTTAAAAAAATATTTTATATATATATATATATATATATATATATATATATATATATATATATATATATATATATATATATATATATATATATATATATATATAAACAAATCTTTAAAACATCTAAATCCTTAAATATATAATTAAATTAAATAAAAACAATAATAAATAGTAGAGAAAATTACATAAATGGTCCTGGTATGAACAAATTACATAAATCGTCCCTATGCGGGAAGGGTAAATATATCATTTCACATAGGACTTAACTGAAAAAGTTAACACCGTTAGTTAAAAGGATCGTTTTTGCAAGATTTTGAAACCACAAGGACCATCTGTGTAAAGATTTCGTCATAAGGACCATAATTGGTCGATTTTGTCAACCACGAGGACCATTTATGTAATTTTGTCTTTTTTTTATTATATGTTTAGTTCATACTATTTGTTTTTGTTACATGTTTGGTCTTTATTTTACCTAAAAATATTATTATTTAAATATGAAAAAAATGGTTGAATATGTAAGGTAAGGTAGAGGAGTTAGGGTCGGGGTGTGCTTATTTAAATAAATTAAAAATAAAAAAAATTAGTCTTTTTGGGTAAACCAAAAACCAAACACGTAATAAAAACAAATAGAAAAAACCAAAATAAAAGAATAAATTAGAAAACAAACATACAAATTAACCTAAACCAAATTAACCTAAACCAATAGACCATTTGTGTAATTTACTCGATAATAATATATGACTTTATTAGGAAATTCCGGAACATTTCTGGTAGGTTCCAGAGCACATCCGGTTCTTCCAGACGTCTCTCGCGCCTTTCAACATGTGTATAAAGCGTTTCATCACTCATTATTCATCATCAGTTAGCAAAAAATCATCAGTTCTGTGAGTAAATTCGCGCAAACAAATCTCCATAAACACGCATTCATACTCGCTAGTTCGAGTCGTTTGATTCTGATTCGTTTCGTAAGGTAACAGGACATTCTACCTCTTCATGTTTTGATGACTTTTTGTTTCTGTACTGTATTTTCAAGAATTTGCTTGATATGATAATGATTTTACTCTGTATTCTTTTAATGCTCTATTTTGATTTCTGCAATTAATCATGTCTCGTTACTTCGCCTTTTATAATTTGAAACTCATTCATGTCAATATGGTTTTTGTCCGCTAACAAATAATTAGGCAAAATTATTCGTTGTAAATATCAAATTCGGTAAATTGGAAGATAAATTCTGTGATGCACAACGACATGGACACATATCTAGTTATAAACTGATGTTTTTATTTTTTTCTCTTAATCTGGTTCATCAATTTGGATATCTATGTTTATCGATTCTGCGTTTATAAAACATAAACTGATGTTCTTTGTTATTGCTTTTGTAGGCTTTTTAAGAGGTATTATCTAACATGAATCCTGACAAATTCACCCACAAGACAAATGAAGCTTTGGCTTCAGGTCATGAACTCGCAATGAATGCTGGACATGCACAGTTCACACCGCTACACATTGCAGCAGCTTTAATTTCCGACCATAATGGAATATTCCGGCAAGCAATAAACAATGCCGGTGGTGAAGAAGCGGGTAATTCAGCGGAGAGGGTTTTCAATCAAGCGTTGAAGAAACTCCCTTCCCAATCCCCTCCCCCTGATGAAGTTCCAGCAAGTACTTCTCTAATCAAGACAATTCGTCGTGCCCAATCTTCACAAAAATCCCGTGGTGACACCCATTTGGCTGTGGACCAGTTGATTTTGGGCATTCTTGAAGATTCCCAAATTTCAGAACTTTTTAAAGAAGCTGGAGTTGGTGCATCGAGGGTGAAAAGCGAGGTAGAAAAGCTTCGGGGTAAAGAAGGGAAGAAGGTGGAAAGTGCTTCAGGGGATACTAATTTCCAAGCTCTCAAGACATATGGTCGTGATCTTGTAGAGCAAGCAGGGAAGCTTGACCCTGTAATTGGGAGAGATGAGGAAATTAGGAGAGTGATTAGGATTTTATCAAGAAGGACGAAGAACAATCCTGTTCTTATCGGTGAACCTGGTGTGGGAAAAACTGCTGTTGTTGAAGGATTAGCTCAAAGGATTCTTAGAGGTGATGTCCCAAGTAATCTTGCTGATGTGAGAGTTATAGCATTGGATATGGGAGCTCTAATTGCTGGAGCTAAGTATAGAGGGGAGTTTGAGGAGAGATTGAAAGCAGTTTTGAAAGAAGTGGAAGACGCTGAAGGGAAGGTGATATTATTCATCGATGAAATCCACCTTGTTCTTGGAGCGGGTCGTACGGAAGGATCCATGGATGCTGCAAATCTGTTCAAGCCCATGCTTGCTAGGGGTCAACTCCGGTGCATTGGTGCAACCACTTTAGAGGAGTACAGAAAGTATGTGGAAAAAGATGCTGCTTTTGAGAGACGTTTCCAGCAGGTTTTAGTGGCTGAACCTAGTGTTCCTGACACCATAAGCATTCTTAGAGGGTTGAAAGAGAGATATGAAGGTCATCATGGTGTTAGGATTCTTGATCGTGCTCTTGTTGTTGCTGCTCAACTTTCAAGCCGATACATAACTGGTATGAATTGATTCAGTGATTCTTTTTCTCTTTCTTGATTTGAACTTGCTCTTCTCAATTTATATATGGTTCTGATGTTGCTTTTTAATTTGTATGCAGCACGTTTTCTGCCTGATAAGGCTATTGACCTTGTGGATGAGGCCTGTGCAAATGTTAGGGTACAACTTGATAGTCAACCAGAAGAAATAGACAATCTTGAAAGGAAAAGGATGCAATTAGAAGTCGAGCTTCATGCTTTGGAGAAAGAAAAAGACAAAGCAAGCAAAGCTCGTCTTGTTGAAGTGAAAAAGGAGCTTGATGACTTGAGAGATAAGCTTCAACCACTGATGATGAAATACAAGAAGGAAAAAGAACGAATCGATGAAATCCGCAGACTGAAACAGAAAAGAGAAGAGCTTTTAGTAGCACTACAAGAAGCAGAAAGAAGATACGATCTAGCAAGAGCTGCAGATTTGAAATTCGGAGCAGTTCAAGAAGTGGAAACCGCAATAGCAAAACTCGAAGGAACAACAGATGAAAATGTGATGTTGACAGAAACAGTGGGACCCGATCAGATAGCTGAGGTGGTGAGTCGATGGACCGGGATCCCGGTGACTCGACTCGGAACCAATGAGAAAGAGCGGTTGATCGGGTTATCCGATCGGTTGCATCAACGGGTCGTGGGTCAAGACCAGGCGGTGAACGCGGTGGCTGAAGCGGTGCTGAGGTCACGAGCCGGGCTCGGGAGGGCTCAGCAGCCGACCGGATCCTTCCTGTTTCTGGGTCCCACAGGTGTTGGGAAAACCGAGCTTGCAAAGGCTCTTGCAGAGCAGTTGTTTGATGATGAGAAGCTGATGATTAGAATCGATATGTCGGAGTATATGGAGCAGCATTCGGTGTCACGGCTGATCGGAGCTCCACCGGGGTATGTTGGTCATGAAGAAGGTGGGCAGTTGACCGAGGCTGTGAGGAGGAGACCATACAGTGTTGTGCTGTTTGATGAAGTTGAAAAAGCTCATCAATCGGTGTTCAATACGCTTCTTCAGATGTTGGATGATGGAAGGTTGACCGATGGTCAAGGTCGAACGGTTGACTTCACAAACACAGTCATCATCATGACTTCGAATCTTGGAGCTGAGTATTTGCTAAAAGGGTTGTCTGGGAAAACAACAATGGAGAAGGCTCGGGAAATGGTGATGGGAGAAGTGAGGAAGCATTTCAAACCAGAGCTTCTAAACAGACTCGATGAGATTGTGGTGTTTGATCCTTTATCTCGTGATCAGTTGAGGAAAGTTGCTCGGCTTCAGTTGAAGGATGTGGCTGTTCGATTGGCTGAGAGGGGTGTTGCTTTGGGTGTTACTGAAGCTGCATTGGATGTGATACTGAGTCAGAGTTATGATCCGGTGTATGGGGCAAGACCAATCAGGAGATGGCTGGAGAGGAGGGTGGTGACTGAGTTGTCGAAGATGCTGATAAGAGAAGAGATCGATGAGAACTCGACTGTGTACATAGATGCAGATATGAATGGGGAGGACTTGAGTTATAGAGCAGAAAGGAATGGTGGAGTGGTGAATGCTGCAACAGGGGAGAAATCTGATGTGTTGATTCATGTTGTGAATGCAAATGCAGATGGTGGGCCTCGTAGTGATGCTGCACAGGCTGTGAAGAGGATGAAGATCGAGGAGGTGGATGATGATGATGATGAAATGGATGATGAGTAACGTGTAACGTGTTTTTAATTGTAAATTTCTGGGTGTTAGTGTCAAGTATATGTTTGTTTTGAGGTGTGTTGGAATGTAAGCGAGGAATGTGTTTGTTTTGAAAATCTGAAATGAAAGCTTTCTTTGTTCTTTAATCAAAGATTTTTTGTCGTGTAAAGAGATCTATTTAACATCATATTATAAACATATACTTGGTAACAGTTTTTACACAGTTATTGACGTCAAATCTTCAACATTTTTACACTGTGGTTGCTACCGGTCAAAACAGTTGACTACATAATCAGACATAACAGAACTGAGATTAAGAAAAATCGTAACTGAAAGTTAGAGGTAATTTAATATTTTTCTATTTAAGTTACAGAAGTAATGCTAGTTTATACGTGGGCATTAGTTGAGAAATTGAGGTTATTACACAGGTATTTAAGTAGCCAAGGGAAGATTAAGGTAAGTTTGAACCCTGTGTAGAGTATGGAATTTGTAAAATTCAGTTAAGATCGATATATCTATTTTCTTAATCTCAGGTGAAAAAGACTTCAACAAGAGGGATGCTGGTATATCTGCAGGAAAAGATCCAAAAATATGTGATCTTAGAGACCAGCGGTTGTATAGAAATCTAAAATTGTTTTAAACAAGAAAAGAAAGTATGTACAGTTTCATTTGGATTTGGGTCAATCTGATTTTCACTTGTAGAGGGGCAATGGGAAGGTATCCACTATCCACACTACTATGCATCATACATTATTATATGTTGTTTTCAAGAAAGTGGCATTTAAAAATTACATTTGTTATGTTTTAGCTCGATATATTACTTTTATTCCAGCATTTAGGGGGATATTTCCACAAAAGCATGAGTGACACTGTCTGTACACCCCATCGATCATCAATCAAATCCAAATCAGGAAAGCTTTTACATAATATTCTATACTATAACATTTTCACAAACTGGTTGTTACTATTGGTAATATCACATCAACCTAGAGTTTTTTTCCATGTTAAGAGGTCATCTCTCTCAAAATGTTGCTCTTCCTTGCAGACGTGCACACCCTCTTTCTCTTTGCATTTTCCACTACGTGCAACTTAAAAGCTTAGACTGGTGAAATCCATGTCTGAGATACTCATTGTATTAGTCAGATATTAATAACATAGTTATAGTTCAGGGTCTAGAATGTAATTGTGTTATCTATATATTCCTCTTGTACATGTTCTTTTACTTGATATACAACATATAATTACCAATATTTAATTTGGTATCAGAGTTGTCATCAGGGTTACAATCCCTGTTGCCTTTTTTTTTCTTCTTCCTTTTTGTTCAGCAGGTGATCGATCAACACAATCTGATGATCATGTCAACCATTATCGCCTTCTCTACAACAGAAAAAATGTCCCACAACTCTCACAAGTTTCCCTTTACCCTCTCCCCTACCAACTCTGGCTTCTGAAAAACAATGATCCACCTGTTTCTTGTCACCACCAATCTCGTTGGTTACATTGATGAATTTATCCCATGTCCTAACCCGACCCTACCCGCAACAGACAAAGCTACATCAACAGAAACCCAACCGAATCCTGCTCATGCCGTCTGGCTTGTGAATGATGCGCATGTGCACATGCTCCTCCTGTCTACAATTTCAGAGGTGTCTTACCCACATGCACAGGGAACCACATCAAGAGATCTTTGGCTCTCTCTACAATGATCCTATGCACTACAATCTTCATCTAGAGAATACACACTCAAAACCCAACTTCTTAAACTAGAGATGAAAGCCGATGAAACCGCTTCTACCTACTTGTTACGTGCTCAAGAATACTTTGATGCATTGGCAAACAATGGAGAAATTGTCAGAGAGAAAGACCTTGTTATGTTAGTGATATATGGCCTTCGTGAGGAATACAACAGCCTCACATCCACTATCCTTGCTCAACAATCACCTACCTCCTTTCAAGATCTTCATGGTCTTCTTGCTGATCATGACTTTATGGTCAAGAAGACCTCACCTACGGTTGCTCCTATCCAAGCTTTTACTGCCACTTCATCCAATCGGTCCACTCCCATCACCACTAATCTATCACCTGATCACCTTCAAGCCCTTCAACAGCTTGTTTCCTAGCTTGGTCTACAACTTAACCCGACTACCACCTCACCCAAGCCTTCTATACAAATCGCCACCAACCCTCTCGTGGTCGCGACTCCAACAATCGTCATGGTCGGGGCAGCTACAACCCCACATCAGGAGGTACGAGGAGTCAATTCCCATGGGCTTCCACCCAAAACACCGTGTATGTCACGTATAACTGGTGTGGTATGTGTCACAAATCGAAATTTTTAGATCAAGTAAAGCCTAAACCCTAACCAAGTACAAGTGAAAACTGCATTGCAATTCTTTTTGCATTTTATCATCTATAGCCTTAGGGTTTGTTTAAAGAATTAACAAAGAGGTATGGATTGAAAACTTAAACTAAATTGGAGTGTTATAAATGAGCTTAAGTTAAAAGTCTAGGGGTTTAAAATGAGTTTTCACCCAAAGTAATTAAAGGGAATTAATGCCAAATGGAATTCACGGTTGAAATCAATTCACCACAAGAGTTCACGGTTGGAAAATGAATCATGGATGTAGTTCACGACCTTAAAGTTTGAATTAATGGAGTTCATGGTTTGAATTTGATGATCAAAAGTGTTCACGGCCAAGGTATGGCCGTGAACACAACCCAAAGCCTTTTTAGTGTAACAGCCCGAAATTCAGGTACCACTAATTAGCCCTTCATCTTTTATTATTTGTCATTTTTGGGCCTTTGTGTTGGGCGAGTACGTTGGGCGTACAAGGAGTACGCTGCGCGTACTCGCGCGCCTCATTTAAACGCAACACCCCCCGGGTACGCTGGGCGTAAGCGTACCCAAGGTTACGCCGGGCGTAACCGGTCCAGACCCAAAACCCTAATTTGGGTTGTTGCCTATAAAAGGAATGAGATGGCTTGGTTCCTCAGCCACCATCCTTCAGAAAGAAACCCTAAGAGAGTTGTTCCTTCGTTCATAGCTTGTTTGTGAGTGTTCTAAGCTTTGAGGTGTCATTTCAAGGTAGCAAAAGAGAAGAGGAGTCCATTGTGGAGGCTAGAAGTTGGTGTGCAAGTGTAGATTCGTGGATATCAAAGGTTGGAGCTTCTTCCTAAGGTAAAAAGTTCAGATCTTGCCTTGTAGTTCTTATGGTATGCTTCTTGGACCAATTTCTAGGGTTTTGGTCCCAAAGATGGAGACTTTATGAGCAAGTAGTCTCCATTGGCTTAGATCTACCATATTCATGATCCATTTGAGTTGTATGTTCATAAAAATGTAATCTTGGATGTAAATGATTAGCCATGCATGAGATCTAGATCTTTTGAGTTGAAAAGGAAAGATATTAGAGAGTGTAGGAGCCTTTACAGCCATGCCAAGGCTTAAAGGTTCGACTTTATGGGGTAGGAGGCTTAAAGAGAGTCGGATCTAGAAGTTGAAGAAGTGTCTTAACCATTTAAGACCAGAAATAAGGTGTGGGTGAATCTGGGTGTTACGTTGGGCGTAACTCCCAGTACGCGCAGCCTACGGGGTTGAGACCCCGGTTGTGAATCAGTGATGTACGCCCCGCGTACTGTGGTATGTTGACTTTCGTTGACTTTTAGGGTTTTGGTCAACATGTGGACTTTGAGTCGGGGGGGGGGGGTAAAATGGTCTTTTACCCCTCTAAGGAATAATAAAAAGGGTGAAGCCTAGTCTTAGAAGTCTATATTAATTAGAATGATATTTCGTTATGATTAGGCGGGGTTGGATCATCGTTTCGAGATTTGGAGATAGCGAGCACGTGAGATTCTAGATTTTCCACGAGGTGAGTTTTCTCACTATACTGTACCCAGAAGGGTATTACAGTGTGACCGGAAGGTCGAATATGTTATGAGTTGTATGCATTGTATATGATAAGTTAACCGTTTGTATGTGCTATGTATACTATGTTTGATATGGGCCGGAAGGCATTGTGATGTGGATCGTAAGGTCGACGCGGGTAGGACCAGAAGGTTTACCGAGTCGGGACGGAAGTCCCCTGAGACACATGGACCGGAAGGTCATGGTCTGGAAAGGCGTATGTGCGTAAGTAGTATTTTGGGGAATTCACTTAGCATTTATGCTTACAGTTGTTGTGTTATGTGTTTCAGGTACTAGCGAGGACCGTAGGAAGGCACCGACGTGATCTGTACACACTATCGGAGGATATATTTATGATCTTGGGATTTACATGATTTGTATTATGTTATGATACATTGGATTTTATGACTTGATTTGGATGAAAACATGTTTTAAGAAATGAAAATTTTATTTTGAAAATTTACGTTGTTACATTTAGGCTGTAAACACCAATTCTAGAGCATATTATGTTTGAAAACTTAATTTCCCTTTGACCATGAACCCATTTCTTTGACCGTAAACACTTGCAACTTGACAGTAAACATCCAATTATTTTATCCTAAGTCATTTCCCTATGAGATAATTCCATTTACCAAAGCAAACGTCAACTCAACCTCCTCCTTAAGTTTCCTTCATATATAAGGTGAGTATCAGATCAATTATTCATTTACACTCCCAGCATACGAAAACACTTCCTCATTTTCTTTCAAAATACATATCAAAGTTCTTCGCATCTTCAAGCAATAACTCAGAAGTCTTCAAACTTTCATAAGAACTTCTTCACAATCGGTAAGTAATTTACATAAACTAATGTTAATTATCATGTTAAAATTATTAAATATCTAATTTATGCATATAATTATGTGTAAAATATAATTAGGATACGGTTAATTACACGTATTCTATCCCGGGAATCATCGCAACCACACTGTACCTAACCAAGAACACGTACATGAGGTGAGTTCACACCCCCCGTATTTTTCTAATCTTTTTCAATATTTTTAGGGGGATATAAGTAAAACACAAGAAATTTTGTGTTTAAAAATATAATTTACTTATTATGTTTTCTTATCGTTAATATGTATTTAAATGTGAAATTTATCAAAACATGGAAATAAACTTATAAACTATAATAGGTATAGTTTATGGAACAAATTGATTATTTTACAAAGTTGCATGTTATTTACTAAAATGTTTTTCACTTTATGTAAACTAATTAATACAA